AATATTTCAGAGGAATCAAGAATGTATGGTACAAAGAGTAACGCGCTGGAGACATTAACAGTCTCCTTAACTATAGCCAGTCGATAATGGTTAGTGTGATGCCGCGCGGACGTTGATTAGTGTATTATTAATTAAAATGGAATCTCTTTCCTCTCTTTACCGTCGTGTCTGTTCCGTTCGAATGGCAGATTTTCCACTAGGTTTCCTCACTTCTTCACGATTTCAATCACGGCCCACGGTATCTCCCGGCTTCTCGTGTCTCTCGCCATTCGCAATTAACGTCGAAGACGCGGCAGGGCTTGATGCGACGCGAAGGTAAATTGCAAACTGCCGACTTTTCAATCTCGGCGAGAATCGCGCCGTTCTTGAATAGCAATAACGCACGCGTATTTTCTTGGCTGTGTAACAATGTAAATAAGAATCCAAACAGGAAGTTTAGGCCTTACGCAAATCGTTAACATCATATGTTAATGGTTGATATTTCGCGCGTTGGAGGTCCCCCGTGTTTGTCCCGAAAACGAGCTTTGCGCAAGCGAACTTTGCGCAAGTCACAGTAAAGATTCCGAAAGCGGCGGGTCTTCGTTTTCATTTGAAGAATCGCGCGCGCGCGCGTGCGAAGGTTCACTTCTTTCAAAATCAATATTACGAGCGCGAAGGCTGGTGTCTTCATAATCGAGAGTATACAGGCCGAATCGACGACCTCGCGATACTTTCCGATTCGAAACGCCAAATATTTACCGCGCACTTCGACCAATTAAAAAGAAAACTTGCGAGAACTTTGCGAAATCTCTAAGAAGCCAAAGCAATGATTTACTGTTGACACTTGTCGTGAAAGACAATGTAAATACAATGACATATAAACATATAAAGCGCAAATTGTACACCTCGAGTATGCTTTATGAAGTTTCTGCATGATGAAATCACACAACGTCACTTGTAAAAAACTCCATCCCCGAATTTTCGTATTGAAAAAAATGTTTTGTTAGTTCAGATAGAATTTAAAATGTCACAATTAAAATTTACTGCCGTTTTTTGTATTTGCTAAAAAACCTAGATTTTACATTCTTGTAACATCCGCGATTAAATTTAGGTGAGTATGAAAATTGTGCATTCGTTTGTGTCTCTCGTCTTTCTGGTCTTTCTTGTTTACCACAATCCATTTTGATAAGAAATGTGACTGGCTTTAGTCTGGATGAACTCCACAAAGAAGCTCTCTTGCTAAATTTCACAAATAGTTCGGACAGAAATTCTGTCTCCGTCCTCCATGTTGATGAGACACGAAACATACGCAATATCGCAATATTGTTTGTTAATTATTTATCCATTTCATCCAATTTCTCGTATAATTTTCGCTATAACTGCAAGACCGTTTTTTAATACGACACGTTCGCTCTAATCCGCCGAAGAAACGCGGCCAATAGGGCGAAGAGACGAGCGTCAACAGCGCTCCATGCTTAAGAGCCTGACAATCCCCCGAAAGTGCTTCCTCCCCCAATTGAGACTCATCGACGCTTCGACACTTGCTCGCGGGAAAAAGCCGTTTCCGTTCCCCACGAGGAGAGTATCGAACGAGCAGCTCGTACGGTCCAGTGAAACCGCGCCGACTACCGAACACCCTGTATATAGCTAGGCCGAGCACCACGACGCCTTAAGGGGTTAACGAACGTGCGGCGAGGTACGGACACCTCCGTGGCTCACCCTGCCCAGAGAAGGGACGATAAAGTCACCGTTTCGCGTTCCTCCCCGCACAGCCGCGCCGCGCCGCGCGGTTGCGATCCTAACGGTTCCCTGCGCGCGGTTCACGCAAACGTGAACGTTCTCTCCGGGCTGCGCGCTCGCGCTATCTCCTGCACGCGCTCGCGCGCGAAGGAAGAAGATCGGAACATGCGAGGAGCAAAGGAGCTCGCAGGAAAGAAGGAAAAACGACCGGAAGGTCGAAGGTGGACGCGAGTGCGCTCACTCCTCCGCCTCTCTATCTATCTCTTTCGATTCTCTCCTGCTGTCTCCTCCTCCTTCTCCTCCTTCAAAAGAGAGAGAGAGAGAGAGAGAGAGAGTCTTATTTATTTATCATATAGTTGGAGGATTTTCTCCGCTTGATAGTAAATTGCATTTTTCCTGTTTTCATAGAACCAAAAAACAAATGGCGAAGTCAACGTGGGAGAAGAGAAAACGCGTCACGTCACGTCTTGAATCGCGCCACGCTCGATTTTCCCGCCCTTTATCACCGCTGTTTGTGTACGTCTTGGCGTGCGTTCGAAAACTCTATCCGAGTGCACTCGCTGCGAGTAAGAAAGATACAGGAGTGAGATAAAGAGAGAGGAGAAGCACTCGGGTGGAGTTTTCGAACGCGTCTATGGAGGATCGCGGCGGCAAGTACACGATATTTCAAGGAAGAGGCTGTGTGCTCCCCCCATAGAAGCGCTACCTAAAAAGAAAACAATTATTTCGCGTCGCGCTCGTGACGCGATCGCTCACGACTTAATTACGAACACACGTGAGACCGCGGGACGCGGACTCGCGCTATTCGCCGTCGACGTCGACGACCCGTCTCGTCCCCGATCGCGAGAGACGCGCCAGCCGCTCGGCGGGCAATTGGATCGCGCGATAGTGAAAGTGCACGCGGAAAGGAACAAAGAAAGGTGGAAAAGAAGCGGAGCGAGCGGCCGCGACGGGCCTTTAGGTGGATGAAAGTTATCGGAGAAAGCCAATTGGCACCGTCGATCTCGCGAGCGAACACGCGCGCTCACTGCAGCTCTCGCGCTGTGCACCGCTCATGTTGCACCGCTCGCGCACGAGCTCGTGTGCGAGTCTCGAGCGCGGTGCACACGGAGAAAATAAGTGCACTCGCCGCCGCCGCCGCCGCCGCTGCCGCCGTCGTGCAGCGCCGAGGCTTTACGTAACTCTGCGGCGTTCCTCTTTCCGCGCGACGACGCCAGGGCCGAACCTACCATTCCCGACTCGCGAATCGCAAAGGAAACCTTGCGAACGGGACCTTTCAGACATGCAGAAACGTCGCGCCGGACGATTCCTCGTAAATGCGACATTTTACGATTTTTTTATGGCTATTATGGAGAGATATTGATATGAGGTTCTCTATCGGGAATATAGTCGAGTTATCGACATTCTGATCGCGAAAAATAGCCTCAAGCCTAAATGCGACGTAAAGATATGCGCGCAAAAGCTTGAAATGAGCGGCGTCGCTCCGATACGAAATGCATTCCATGCCGGATATCTCTAATGCTGTTACGTTTCCCGGCGCTCCGTGTTATATTTACGAAGATCCGATTGATTTACGTCGCGGAAAAAGAGAAGTCAACAGCACTGCGTATGGGGCTATAGCCACGACGACGGGGTTAATGAAGCTCGTGGCCGCGTAAAGTCTCGTCGTCACGACGGCAAAAAGGAGCAAGAACTGGAAGGAACGAGCGACGCGCGCGAGAGATGCTATCGGCTCCGCCGCTCGGCTCGCGCAAGGATGAACGATGATTTGTCGAGCGAGTCCACGAGACACGAGAGAGCCGCATAAATTCTTATTAGCGCGATGTTACGGCGGCTCGCCGTAAAAATCCGTCGGCGCAATCTGGTCGACTCGGGACCGCGGGTGCTTCCGACACCCCGATACTATCAAAGTGTTACTCGATGACGTAATCTCGCTCACACTATCGCCCCTTCCTCTCCCTCCCGTTGTCACGATACTAATAATTATCACTATTTTCTTGGGCCCGTATTAATAACAGTCGTCACTTGAAACTTGTTCCGCGTGAAATATTCAGATATGAATTTAGAGTTAGATCTGAGTTCTCTTTACTCGGATCAGGTAACGTGACATTACATTTGCAGTCGCGATTCAGCTGAAAGATTCACATCTAAGTCTAAGGCCTGTATTAGCAGTCGTTACTTGAAACTTGTCCTACGTGAAATACGTGAAATACGTGAAATTAGTTGAGTTTTTATCTGAATTATATAATATGTGTGACATTACACATTTACAATCGCGACTCAGCTGAAAAACTCGTCTAACTTTAAGGCTCGTATTAGTAGTCGTTACTTGAAACCTCTCTCAAGTGAGATATTCAGATTTGAGTTCAGAGTCAGATGAAAGTTTTCCAGTTGAATCGCGATTACAGATATATAGTCACACATTATATAATCCAATTGAAAAATCTGAATCCAACTGCTGAAAAAGCTCACATGAGACAAGTCTCAAGTGGCAACTATTTATACGGCCCTAAATTAAAATCTGAGTGTCTTATCTGAGAAAGTTTTACCTGAATTTCAGGAAATGACGATTAATACGACTCTTTGACGCGCGAATAATCATTATAACCGCATTCATGTGATTGTTTGTACTTTATTATGATTATTATTATATTTATTATTTGTTGTTCGTGGTATATCGAGTCACGGAGTGTGCGGTACACTTTGTTTTATACATCGAGTATTTTTAGCATCGACACTTTACTCCCGACAGTCTATAGATATCGATCGCGCGTATCCCGTGTATTTTTAATGTTTAAAACACATATTAATTACTTACGTTGCTTCCTGTGGAGTTATTATTATTCTTTATACTTTTCTCCTCATAAACGCTACCGCTTATAAACGCGGTATTCGATATTGAGTGTTCGACGACGACTGTATGTCGAGCGCGACGAGAGAAAGACATTCTGAGTTTTTTCGCGATTTTTCACACGGGACCTCATTGATGAAGAACTCGTCTCGCGAATCGTCAATAATTAAGTTTGTTGTCAACGGATGCTCGTGAAATTCGATATCCTGGCGCCAATTTAAACATGAAGGAGTCTCTCCTCCAATCGCTTCTCGTTTTCCGCGAGAATTGCCGATGCCGCTCGACAAATTAATTGACGTTTAAATGTTTAACAACGTCGACGTCAAACAACGAACGTTTCCACTCGACTTTCTGAATGATCCACACACGCACACACATACACAGGATCGAGCAACCCTACATTTGAGATTGATGTTCCGACCGTTTACAGAACCCGTGGCCAGCAGAAGACGCGGCGAGCGAAGCCTGGGGCAGAAGAATGTTCTCTCGAAAATGCAAAGGACCCTCGGCCCGTTAGGAATGCTCTACGGTTGCATGGAGAACAAGAACCGGGTTAGGGTAGGTCAAACCGACTGATTTTATCCTCTAAGTGTCGATTAACACTTCAGATCTTCATTAAAGTCTGCGAATTGCGAACGAGTCGACATTGTGCAAAAGTCGAATCGCGAATTGCTACACGAGAATCACACGCACGAGACACACAGAGATAACTTTATATTAAAAATGTATCGAATAAATTTTCATATATATATATATATATATATATATATATATATATATATATATATATATATATATATATATATATAT